AATGGCAGAAAGGCCGACTTGAGCTCATTCAAGAGCTTGTAAAATGAGTTGTATATTTCCAATCGGAAAATTCTTTGTAGATAAATGATGCCAAGATCAAGGGCTTTATTTTTCTATATAATACTTGGCACTCTAGTAATAAGTCAGTCAGTCAACCATTAGTCGTGGTCATTCTGTAAAGCAATCAAGTTTGCTTGGCGACTAATTTTTGCAGTACAAAGCTGATATTGGGATCTTACAGTAGTTTAGCCAAAGCAGTCAAGACAGTAAATCTTTTCAGTGAGCTACGATGGGACGAGTTGGAAATCCATGCGATGCACAGAAGAGAACGGTTTCTAGGCTGGGGCAGCAACGACATTCGACCAGAAAATATTCCCCGTGAAAAAGTTGAGCGTTTTTTTCGTGAAAATCTCCCCAAGTGTAAATTGAAGTTTATGTAAAGTTATTTCAAATGTTTACTTTATTTTTCTCTTTAAATTTGGAAGCTTGGAAAACGATTCGCTTTTTGTTAAATTCTATGCACGATTTGTCAGATTCTATTGAATTTTGAAATTTTATGCTTGAATCCGGTTTAAGGCTTTAAACCCTATCAAATTTCTAGAATTACTCTTGTTATTTTCTCCTCCTCTAGAGAAATGATTAAAACAAATCGTTTTATCAATAATGTACCTTCAAAAACTACGGTAATCTTGTCTCGAGTAAACTACAGAAAAGATGGATGACTCAGTTATTTTTGGTAGAAATTGAGTCACATTACGTCATGCTTACCCAATGTTGATGTCAGCTTAGATCTATTAAAATAAACGGTTATAAGAAAGTTCATTTTCAAATTATTTGACCAAACAAGATTCACGTTCAACAAGTTTTCTTTGTATTTTCACTATTTCTCTTATTTTCACCAATATTTACCTATTCTTTTAAAGAAAAAAGCTTTTTTTGTGAGCGCGAAATCGATTTTTCGCCTTTTCGGCTCTCTGTCGAATTTTGCTTGAAAAAAATGTCTATGACTATTGCACAACATTTCTTTTACCTCATTCAGTGACACACCAACGAAATATCTCAACTTTTACAGCTAAAAGATTTCAATTTTCAGTTCTGATTGCTTTATTTCGTTTTGAGCAGAAATTTATTCACATGGAAAATAAAACGAGAACGAAAATAACAGCTTTTGACCAAGAAATTGTTGAGTACTGCAAAGCGAGGATACAGGTTGGCAAGGAGAATTTTAGGGAAAAGAAACACTGTATGACAACTAACTACATAATCGCTTGGTTAGATATTTTGTAGGCCAGCTGCTTGGCTATACCAGAAAACCCAAATCTGGCTTCTTGCTGGCTCAGGTTTTTCTAAGCTATGATGGCTTAGGTCAAGCAAGCTTAATCTGGTCAGGGAAATTTGCTTTTAGAGCAGCTTTAGCTTCTAGCATTCAGCATTCAGCTATTAGGCTGTCCAAAAAGTCTTTTTGTTCCTTTTCGCACTTTCGTTGAAAAATCACAAGTAACCCATGGTTTGCTCTAAATAAAAATGTTTATTGTTAAATTTCTTATTTTTTTAAGTTAATTTGGATTCACTTTCGAGCAAATTCGAAAGTGAAACCACGTGTTTTTCGTAAAAATCTATAAAAAGCTTTACGAAGAAATAGGCTCAATTAATTTCGCGGAAAATTTGGCCACCGTATTTCCTGTAATAGAAGCCCCGGGGCTTCTATTTTTTCGATGTCCGTCTAGGGAGGGGGCTATTATTTAAATGACATCGAATTGTATCGGGGGAGGGGGCAAGTGTAACTTTACACTCAAAACTTTGTTTGGTTCTTCTTGTCCTTCTTTTAATGTAGTTCTTTCACCTTTGAGTTTGCACTTCTTTGACGTCGCCTTCTCGTTCTCGTACAACTAAAACAAACAAAATTATATTTTAACCAACATTTCACTAGAATGACAAAAGAAAAAACATCCCCAAAAACACACTCCCAAAAAAAATCCAGAAATTTTTTTTGCTCCTAAAGTCTTTCCAACATGCGCTAATTTACTCTGCATCTAAGTTTAATTGCGAAATTCTTATAGTCGATGTTTTCCTTGCCAAAAAGACCCGTTTTTTCGTTATTTATCGTCCCCCTGATGTTAACTTAGCTGACACATCTTCTCTTTTCGACCACCTATCGACATTCTTAGTTTCTGCTGAGCTAAACATTCTACTTGGTGATTTTAATTTTCGTGTAAATTTTTCCAGCGGTTCTTTTGCATTTGACAAATACCATCACCCCACTATTTCACTTGAAAGTTTCCTCATTACGAGCTCTCTTTTTATTTTAAATGCATTTCCTACTTTCTGTCGCTCTTCTTCTATTTTAGATATGGTGATTTCTGACTTTCCGGATGACGTAATCGACCTGCAAAGTTTGCCTCCTCTTCCGGGTTCTGACCACATCTCAATCAGCTTCAAAATCAATTCAAACTGCTCTACTCCAAAGAAAAGGGATCAAGTCTGTTTGCATTTTGATTTTGATCATGTCAAAGCGGCGGTGTGTTTACTAAATTCTCTAAATCAATCAGATTTTTGTGCCTCCTCAAATTCTATTGACCAAGATTATGACACTTTTTGCACTAGTCTCCTAAACTCGGTGGAATTGGCATGTGCTCATTCTTCTTTAAAGACCCCGCCGCACATTTTAAGAGCTAAAAGTCGTTTAGCCTGTTTTTACCGTCGCTCCTACTTTTCTCAACCCGCAGATGATCCTTTAGTTAATAAGGAACTAAATAAGCTTTCCAAATATTGTCGGAAATTTGAGGAAAATATAGAAAGAAACGCCATTAAATCCAAAAAAGGGAATTCTTTTTACACGTATATAAACTCTAAATCTAAGGACCCTAACCAAATTCCAAATTCCTTTCTTGATCCATCCAATCCTAGTGAAACACTTTTAGATCCCGGAAAAATTGTGCTTGAGTTTAGTAATTTCTTTCACAGTGTTTACAATAACCAGATACCTGATGAACCATTCCCGGCTTTTCCGCCTAAAGCCATTCCACCACAAGCCGATTTCCTCCTTACAGCTAGTGACATCGAAGCTGCTTTCAAAAAGTTGAGACCCAAAAAATCGCCTAGTCCAGACAAAATTACTGCTTTTTTCTAAAGAAACTACATAAAGTGCTAGTCATTCCTCTTGCCAAATTCTTCAATAACATTTTGCTTGTCTCTGCGGTCCCAACTTACTGGAAACAATCTCTTGTGTCACCTTTTCTCAAAAAATCGCCCAAAAATATATTCGCTAATTATCGTCCCATTTCTTTAACTTCTCCTGTGTCAAAACTTTTTGAAATTATCATAAAAGATAAAATTTTTCAACATTTTGATAAGTACAATCTTTTTTCTGACCAGCAGTTTGGCTTCCTTAAAAATAAATCCACAACTTCTCAACTTATTTTAGCCTATAAGTCCTTTTTCAAAGCTTTAGATCAAAAAGAAAAATCTATTTCCCAACTAGAAGCCGTCTTCTTAGATTTTGCAAAAGCTTTTGATTCTGTTCCCATTGATCTTCTAATTCACAAACTGCATGCTTACCGGCTCAGTCCACTTGTAATTTCGGTCGTCAAAAATTTTCTTTCTCAGCGGACTTTCAAAGTAATTCTAAATAATGTCCTTTCTCCCTCTTTTGATTGTCCTAGCGGGGTTCCTCAGGGTAGTATTCTTGGTCCTCTTTTGTTTACTATCTATATTAATGACCTGCCTAACTGTCCTTTCAAATCAAAAAATTCCTCCATCTGGCTCTATGCCGATGATGTTAAGCTTACGTTCAAAATTCCCATCGGAACTCAAGTAGCTTCGCTTGCGGCTGTAAAAGATGCAAACCATGACTTAGAACTTATTAATTTGTGGGCCAAAACGTGGAAGCTTTCCCTATCCCCTTCAAAATCTCAACATTTTTCCACTGGTAAATTTAGTTTCTCTTTGGTAATTAACAATATTCCTATCAATTACATTAGTAAATTTTGTTAGAGATTTAGGTGTCCACATCTCTCCCCCTTTTAATTTCACTAAACATATTGAAATCATTTGTCGAAAAGCTTCTTTTGTTTCTAGCCGTATTCTCAAATCAATTGTTCATCCTAACCTAAACTCTTACCGCAAATGCTTGACGACTTATATCCGGCCCATCTTAGAATATGCTTCTATTGTTTGGTCTCCCCGCGCACAAGTCTTTATTGAACGCTTGGAGAAAATTCAGAGGAGGTTCACAAAAGTCGCTTTATGGAAAATTGACTATTCTAAATATTCTAGCTTTACTTATGAGGAGAGACTTGCTTTTTTTGAACTAAAAACTTTACAGCATCGTCGCTTTGTCATTGATTTAGTCGAAACTTTCAAAATCCTCCGTTGTAAACAGATTAGCCCTTTGTTTATAGACTTTTTCAAATTTAAACCGCGGTCAGGGCCCAGAAGTGGCTCATTCCTTTTGCAAATTCCCTTTGCTTCCAATGCCTCTTTATCAAATTCATTTCCCGTTAGAGCCGCTAGATTATGGAACTTGCTCCCAAACGACATACGAGAAATTCAGTCGCTTTTCATATTCAAGAAACGTATCGATGCTTTAGATCTAGTGGCTCTTTGCTGTAAGTAATTGGCTTATTGATTTCAGTATGTATTGTATGATTAAGTATCACTGTGCATTTCTCTATGATTTCTTTCACTTTATCGTTTGAATAAAGTATTATTACTAAATAAGACATTTTAAACCCGTTATAACGTTATTTTGCAGAAAAATAATTGGCCTTTCTAATGAAACAAGCCGTAGTTCCAGCGGTGGATTTGGTGGTCTTGAACGGAAGTACGAAAAGGAACGAAAAGACTTTCTGGATAGCCTAATGGAATCAAGTAGATACCAAGCTTAAACTTTGTAAGACCGTAGTGGAAAAATATGAGATAGTTTGACTTCTCGATTTGAGAATATAAGAAAGCTCTTTTAGTCGCCCGAAGCTTTGAAGCAAAAGCTGGAAATTTTCGAAATGATTGTGGAGAGTGTACGTGGACGAGATGTGGGTGATAGATTGAAGTTCAATTTCAAACATAGGGATGAAAAATAAGGCTTTAAATTTAGGAGTTGTCCAATTATGTAGTTGATTTCCACTTGTATGGCTCAACGGTTACCGGTTTTGGTTCCAAGAACTCGGACTTGGATGTTTTTATGAATATTGAAGCAAATATTCATTCTGAGTTGGCTGAGAAGGATGATAAAAATGGGTTGGTTTTCAATTTTACCATATTTAATGTTATAAAGTAAATGCAAAAAAGTAGTATTAGGCCAAAATTTAGAGTTTTTATTTAGAGCTTTCACCAAGCTTGTGAAACGATGGAATCTTATGAATTTCAGTGGAGCTAAAAGCCAAAAATCTATATTGTAAAAATTTCAGTTGTTTGGAGAAGATTAAGAAGATTTTGCGACGCAGCTCATATTTTGATGGTCACTATCGAGAGGTGGTGTTTCTCGCAAAAGCCAAGGTTTGACTCAAATATCATAGCTTTCGATTTTCAATTCAAGTACTTGTAAAAGATACATAGTTTATATGAAAAGATATGTCATTTCTATGTACTTGTGCGATAAACGAATTCTTTCTGTCACACTCAATTCCTCGCTTTTCTCACAAAACAAAGCCGAAGCTATACGAAAAGCTATGAATCGCGTGCGCTAGAAAGGATGCGTTTACAATTTTGGATGTAAAGTATTCAAATCTTAATAGGTACCAATCATTTCGATGACCTTACTCGAGAAATTCAATCACATCAATGTGGACATCAGTGCGAGTTCGCTTGAAGGAGTGCACAACTCGTATTTATTCAAGCACTACAATATGTAAGTGAAATTTTTTGAGCTGAGATTGTATTATCACCTTGCGGAAAACGTTTCCCACAAGAAATTTGGAGCGGGAAAGCTTTTTCCGTGTATTACCACCTCGGGGGAAATGGCCGTGGGAAATCCCAAAATTTCCCACGGGAAAAGTTTCCAATGGAATTTCCTATAAAGTGATATATTGGTTGGGTGAAAGCTCCGGGCAAATTTTCCCATGGTAAATTCCCTTCAAGGTGATAATACGGCCTCTGATTCAATCAACAAGTTACTCTTTAAAAAGTGCTACAGAAATTGTCGACTGTTTGACTTTTACTTGTAAGAAATCTAGGTAATTTAGAAATAGAATTAGTAAGCTTGAATTGCCACGTTCAATTGATTTTTTCCAAATTTTCAGATTAGAAATGAGATTTCAGGATCGATGAACGCTTTGCTCAACTCTATCTTATGGTAAAGGAATGGGCGACGGTGAACGATATTTGCAACTCACAGGCTGGCTCGTTAAATGGGTGAGTGTGAGACAAAGGCAGGTACTTATCGATTGGGTAGATTGGATTGCTACTTGACTCTGTGATTTGTTAAACGCCGATCCGTTTGCTAAATAAATCAACAACAAATTTAGATGATTAGGTAAAACCTATTCATTTCCAGATTCTGTTATTGTTTGTTGGTGCTTCATTTTCTCCAGAGTGGAGTCACTCCACCCATTCTTCCGAATCTTCAAAAATTGTTCCCTGAAAAGGTTTGTCATTTTTAAAAGCCATAATGATATTAATAACAGCTTGACAAATATCCGTTATCCGTCAAAAATTATCCGTTTGACAAGCCTGATCAAATTATACGTCTTGTTTTCAGTTTGCAATGACGAGAAGGTTGGATGAGTTGCAAAGGGATACAGACGAAAAACTGGATTTCGATAGAGGTGAGGTTGAAAATTCTTATGAAAAAGCTCGGATTTTCGAGAAGATGTTTACATTTATTACCACAAAGTACATGCCAAAGAACGATTTCAGTTGATGAAACAGGCTCTTTTAAAGGTTCACTTGTGATCAAAAGTGTAAACGCACCATTTCTCACGCACAGAATGCTTCGTTCCCTTACAGCTTCTCTTATCAAACAAATTGCAGACTCTATCAACGAGTCAACAATTGGTGAGCTTTTCCTGGGATTTTTCGAGTACTACAAGAAGTTTTCATGGAAGACAAAAGGCATTTCGATACGACGAGGGGAAACTTTTTTAAGGTAAGATAGGTAAGAAAGAAACAGTGCCAAAACTTACAACTTAAGGCCAAACATATAATGTTTTAGACCCAATGAGAACAAGGACTATGTTTATGTGGAGAATGTGTTCAGTGAAACGAATGCGGCTCGGTAAATCTGGCTCCAAGGAATAAAACTGTCAAAAAAGAAGTTTTAGAGTACTTCGAACTCACCGCAGCTTCAAGATTTTTCTGTATGCAATTGAGAAGATGGTGGAGAATTTCTCAAAAACCGCATCACTTGATGACATTTTAAAAAAGATTGAAATTCCAAAAGGCTTGATGAGCCTCAAACAATTGGATAAAGAAAATATCAGGATTCAAGGAAGAAAGAGAAAAGTAAATGGGAGAAATGGAGGAGGAGTAGTGGAAAAGAAAAATAGCGTGTAAGCTTGTAGATAAATTTGTAAATAAATGAATAAAAAATTTGGCTTCTTTATCATTTCAACAAGAAATACACAAAATTACAAAGCTTGTTAAGAGCAAAAAAATGTTAATTGTAAGATTTAGGTTTCAGCTAGGAGCTTTCTAAGTAGTAAATAGTATACAGTAGTAAATTCTCTAGAAGTTTTTAAAATTTCAAAATTTTCATGCTTTATAGTTTTTTAACTCTTTAAACCTCTAATTTTTTTTTTTTTTCAAACTCTTTTTTTCCCAACTTTTTTTTTTTTTTTTTAAAAAAATCCTTCTTCCCTTTCTTTTCTTTTTTTTTTTTCTTTTGGGTTGGGGGGTGGTGCTTGTCTACGGAACGGATCGATGCTTTGTAGTGAGTTCGAATCACCCACTGGAAAAACTTTTTCCTTTTTATTTTTCATTTTGATATTTTTGATTTTCTTATACTATTTTGCTTTATTTTCTTATCTAATTTTGATCAGAGCAATTCAACATCATGAGCTAGGTCTCGTTTCGAAATTCCATGGTGACCCAGTACTCTTCCCTAGTCAGAGTCAAGGCAAAAACTAATCTACTTGTAGAAAAAGCGGGTACACTGAAAAATTTAGATGATAGAAGTGAAAGCAAATCAGGTGAAGAGAAATTTGTGGAGGTTAAGCTAAAGAATGAGGAAACAAAACCTGCTGAGGAACCTGAAGAAGAAAAAGAGAGTGAATCATTGGGATGGGATGCTTGGGGAGGTAATGTTGTTTCATTGATTCTGTAGAATTTGTTTTAAAGTTAATTTGTCGTAGTTCTCCGAAGACACTTTTGATTTGGCTTGGTTGGCTTTATATTAGTTTGTCAAAAAAATCTGGCCTTATTCTTAGCCTTGGCTTTTGGTTTTTCAGTCCAGCTCTTTGAAAAATTTGAAACCAAAAGCTAAATTGTTTACAATTGTACTTTTTAACGTCAAAGTTTTTCACGCCTTGTAACTAAAATTTAAACCTTAAAAATTGAATCGTCGCCTGAATGATCTTCGCCACATCGGGAAAAGCGAACAAGACCAATTTTCTCGAGTTTTGTGGCCTGTTGACGGGAGCTCTCGTTCAATTGGAAACTGTTGCTACAAATCTCCCATCTGGCACATACCAGGTAAAAATATTCAGTTAAGAATTTGAAATCTAAACAATTAGAAGTTGTATTTAATTTTTTCGTTCATTGAGAAAAAGCAAATCTGATAAGGCAATCGGTTTTTTTGCTTCAAAGACGAATGTCCTTATCAGAAAACCCTTGTGAAATTTGTGGCACAAGAAAATTTCGAAAAATTCTATTACTTCAATTTTTTTAGGGTGATGATGTGGCAACTCGTTTCCTCGTCGATTGCCAATCAGCGCAAGAATTACCCGAGAGAATCCTCAGGCTTTCGATCACCGTTCTTTTGGTTTGAGTCTAATTGTAAGACATTCAAATCACTTTCTTTGATTCACTGTGACTCTTATGGTAAATACTTATCTACCGAAATATTCCAATGATGATTAGGGTGCATTAGTTGCTTTTTTTGCGCTAGAAGAATAAACTTAACCTATCAAAGCTTCATTGAGCTTTGCTAATTCATAGCTTTGATTGACTATCGAGGCCAAATCCAGATCTTGCAATCGTATAAAAAGGCTAATTTGAAGTTTTCGAACAAGCCATAGCCTATCAGATATCAGCTTCAACGCAAGATATCTGGTAAACAAGTTCTCTAGTAAAATAAAGAAGCGACTGGCAAAGAATTTGGAGCTGAGGAGGGGATTGAACCTTTCTGCGTAACGGACAGATTCTTTATCACTGAGCTATCGACGCCTTCTTTGCCCAGGCAGAATTAAGAAAGACAAGGAAGAAGAAAGGAAGGGAAGACAACTATTCAGTGAGGATTTGATAAAGATTCGGATCTGGAGTTGGATTTGATAGTGTTTTCTCTGAATCGAAAAGCTAATCAAGTACGCCAGAAATGAAGTGTTTCCATTTTTAGCCCAAAGCACACCTCTCATTATATTTTCAGCCTTAACTTATTTAAAATTCATTGAAGCCAACTTGCCAAAACCTCTGAAACTTTTGAAATCTTTATGTTTAGTTTAACAATATTGAGATCATTGGGGTTTTCGTGGTAATTTGCGTAAGAGTCTTGATTTTTAATGATTTTTGGTATTAAAGCACAATTCTATTAAAACAAATGCATGGTAGATATTTGATATTTGACAAAAATGGTAAAAATGTGCTTTGTAATTACTTTTATGGACTAGTCTGGGAAACTTCTATCTATTTTTTTTTCTAACTATGACAGTATTAAAACTCAAAAATTGTAGAAATTACCGGTGTTATCCAATAATACAAATTTCACATGTCCATCGAAAAATGTGATTTTTCTATTGCCTTCCCATTTTTTCGTTTTTTTGACGAATACATTTTTCTCTCCCGTAAAGCTGTGATAAAATTCTCTTTCGAAATAAAGCTTTGCCGTTTTCAAGAAAAATGTTCAATTGTCTTAAACATTTACCTTTAAAACTAAATTTCTATTTACTAAAACGTTCTTCAGAATGAGTTTTCTCAGCCCCGAAGTGCAGCAAATCTTCCAAAATGCGGTTGGGATAGTCGCGTCGACGCTGACATGGAAGGAATCAAGAGATTTACAGGTATAACAATAATAAAAAAATTTCAATTCCATCAACGATCTTGTATAACAATGCCAATCATAAATCAGGCTTACTTGCAAGATCTTTGACACAACTTTGTTGGCTTTGTCGGTATTATTACAAATAGCAAAAGTGCACAGTGAATCAGATACAAAATGGTATGAAAGACTTTGATAATTAGATAAATCATTACCATTAATCAATAAATCTTGAAGCCACAATTAGACCTTTTTTAGATCACCGCAATCAGCGACTCTGCACTGAAACAATTGGAGTTGAAGGACAACAATGGGACCACTTCGCTGTATAAGGTAAGATTCGGATATCTTATATGTTCAGAAAATTCCATTCAAAACTGATTTCAGGACAAATCAAACGTCTTCTACGTGATTTATCGCCCGACGAAAAAAGTGATCATCAAAAGTATGCCGGAGGCTGAGGGGAAAATCATCGCCAATCGACTAAATCTTCTCTTTGCTGGACTGTACGATGGTAATCATAAAGCATAATAAATTTACATCTAGTGAATATTTTAGAATCTTTAGAACCTTAAAACTTTTAATAGCAAAACTTTCAAATAACTCAACTTATCAAATCAACCCGCGAACAGCGAACCGTTTCATATTTTCCAGTCACTTTTTGACTTTAACTAATCTAATCTAGATCTAAATCTAGATTTGCAGATACTTTACATTCAGAACTTTTGAATCACCCTGTATATTCGAAATCCTACTTTTCATTGCCTTGACTTTAAACTTAATATTCTTAAGCGATCTCAATGATTGTTTTTGCAGAACTTCAAAACAGTGCCAAATCTGTCTTTATATTCAATTTTAGACCCAATCCGACAATTGCCTGACAACGAGCTGGAGCGAATCGCTGTATTTACTCTCAAAAATCCGAGTTGGACTGAGGTGCTGGAAAGCTTTTTTACTTTAGAATCTGCCTAAATATAAAAAAGTAACCTTATATGCAAATTTGTCTTTTTATGCTAATTGTAATCGAATTCAGATCCATTTGGCGGCGGCGCTCGGACTGACCCGAACGCTGAGCTTTCTCTTCGAAAGAGACGCTGTTGTGTAAGTTTTTGTCCAAAATGTTTTAAAATTCTATAGGGTAGCGCACAATTACCCGCACTCAGTTCAGATTCTCCAGCTCAACGAAGAGCCAATCAATTGACCTGATTTTTTTTATTATCAAATTGAATATTTCTCCTGCAATGTGTTTTCTGGATTTGATCAGAAAAGTTTCTAAACTTTTGCTAGAGCGCTGCAAAGTTGCGACACACGTTTGCTTCGGCGGAATAGCGATTTTTTTGGTTTTTGTAACTAGTTTCAATGACTCAAAATCAAAGAAAACCAGCTTCATTTACTTCTTTTTACTTATTATTTTCAAAATCTAGCTCATTTTTACTGGAAAACAATGAATTTCGATTAGGGATCAAAGTTCAAAATGTGAATTTGAACTGAGTGCGGATAATTGTGCGCCACCCTGTATAATTTCTAAATCTAAATCAAGAATTATATAATTGAATGTATTCATGATACCTAGATCATTGTGCAAATCACGTTTTCAGGGTTGTGAACACGCCCACCGAGGACGGACTTTTACCGCTGCACATTGCTTGCGAGTACAATCAGGTGAGCCTAGATTAGGTTAAAAATTAGTTTGGATCAATTTGCATATTAATATAATGGTAAACTTAATCAATTATCTATTTCAGTATGAAGCGGCCATGTTGTGCACAAAAGCCGGCGCTCAAGCTTCAAAAATGAACGCTCGAGGGCAAACAGCGTACCATTTAGCGGCAAAAAGTGGAGATATGAGATTAATGAAGGTGAGAATTTATATATCTATATTTAAATTAGATATAATCTTGATATCAAAATATATTTAGACTTGACTATAGTACAAGGAGTACCGTGTTAGGTACCTGAGAAAGGTCTTGAATCCTAGCTTTGACCAGATTTCTGGCTCCTAGATTTACTCGGATTCAAGTATAAGTGATTATTATTATACTAAATATACTTAGTAATATCTAAAAATTGAATAATGTCACATTTGTAGAAAAAACTGTAGAAATTAGCTTTGATCTCGGTCTGGCTATTGCTAGAAAAAACCGCTGCATATTCTGGCTTTGGTATCTTACCATATTTTTGTATCTTCTACCATAATCCATTTTCTATTCTGCATTAGCTTTAATCGATAAGTATCTACCAGAAATAATAATCCAGATAATCTAGGCTCTTCTGTCCACCAATACAGCGCAAGCCATTCAACTTTGTGTCACCGCCGAGGACATGTCTGGTTTCACTCCACTCCAAGAGGCCATCTGCAATGAGAATCTGGAAGGATTACAGGTACAAATTTTAGTTTTACGTATAGTATTACAAAAAGATTGGTTTATAATTTAACTTTATATTCAGGTGATTCTCTCGGATGTAATCGCTTGTCGTGGCGCCAAAAAGCAAGTGCTTCGTTGTCTTCAGCACTACGTCGTCAAAGATTACGATAAATGGAGAAAGTGAGTGAGCTTTTCAAAATGCAAGTTTTCCGGACCAGGTAAGGCAGAGCCAAGAGAGAAGTCATGTTTCCTTCTTTCTTTCTTTTCTTCTCCCCTCTCTTCTTTCTCTCTTTCTCTTGGGAAGTTAAAGTATCGGATAGCTCAGTGGTTAGAGCAATTGCCCGGAAAGCAAAAGGCCGAGAGTTCAATCCCCTCTTTGGAAATCTGCTTTTTCCTGCCAATTCCTTCACTTCCTGATTACAAAAAGCATGTCAGAAGAGTTGGCTTTGCTCACCATCAGCTTAGGCCCGGTTAGAACATTCTGGATAACTAGCCAGACTACTTAACGAGAGCCAGAGACTTTTGAAAGATCTGGATCTAACTTCTAGCGGGGTCTGGCCTGATTATGTGCCTTAAGTCCAGGTTTAAATATCTTTTGATTGATATCAAGAGCTTAAAAATCTAGTTATATAATTTGTTTCAGAATCGGCATCCTCGTGTGCAGTTCACAACTCGATTGGTTGATCCAAATGGACCCGTCCGGGGACACGATTTTGCACAAACCACTTCCGGATCCCGATGTAAACGCTCAAAATTTACATAAGAATTTAAACTGGCAGTAGTTTTAAACTTTTGATAAGTATATCTATAAAAGTTTTAGATTCTCCGTGTTCTGTGCCAATTCGCGGACAGGAGCTGCTTCGAGCTGCCAAATGACAGTGGACTGACCCCGTTGCAAGCAGGTATCTAAGGAATTAATAACTAAGTAACGAGCTAGTCATAATATATCTTACTACACATAAATAAATTTAATTTTAATAACGAATTTAGCCATCAATCGGGACGACTTAGCAGCTTGTGTGTGCTTTGTTTCGTTCGGGGCTGATGTGAGCAAAAAAACGGCTAAAGGCGAGACGTGTGCTCAATTGGCGTTACAAGTAAGCAATGTAGATTAATACATTTTAGTACATAGAAACCGAAGTAAATCGATGGTAGGTATGATTTATCAGATTAAAATTTGACCGGTTTTGTCAAATCAACCCGTTCATGGGTCTGTTGAGTGAGTTGACGAGCTCAAGCACGTTCTGCGGGCCAGATTTTACATTTTAGGAAACAAATTTCGCTTGTTAAATGGTGGATGTAACGAGAAATCAATGTTTAGGCACAAATTAGCAAACCGAACTTGTTTCCTAAAACCGGGCATCTGGTCCGCAGACCATGCTTGGACGAGCGAGATTGCGGAACATTCGATACGCGCTCCCCCCTTTTGTCATTGGCAACCCTTGAGTCAAATACTGCTGGGGCCGCAATTTAAATGCTTTATACCAACGACAGAGAAAGACTTGGCGCACAAGAACCAAGAAATAAATGACGCCCAACACCAAGAATGAGCCAGAGGCCAAGGCAAAGGGGCGGGCGTACAAACCAACCGGACGGGCCCCCAAAAGTACCAATGAGTAATCTGTATTTAGTACGTTATGTATCTTTCAGTTTTCCCACCATCAATTACAAAAATGCCAGCTTATAGTTAGCATATACGCAGAAATTTTGCATTATAAATGCAAGTTGACGGGGAAAACCAACAAAACACCCGGGTCTACTTGTCGGTTTTCCCCCATTTTTAAATGCAAACTTTGACGAAAAATGTAAAAAATTGACAAGTGCCCAATATTTATATCTAAATTTATTCAGTTTTTAAAGTTTGCGTTTCAGAAAGCCCGCCCGATGATCTTGCAACTCTTGATCCTGCTCGGCGCTCAAATGGACCCCTCCGATTTACAATTTGCGCAAGAAAAACATAAGTAAAGTTTTGAAAAATGCAAAAAGAAATATGAATTTAAAGTCAGGCCCTTTTTTTGCCAAATTTAACCTTTTAGACCACAACTCCGAAAAATTTTCCAAACAGCGTTGGAGCCGAAGCTGCAAGAAGCGATGAGAGATCATCTGTTACCGGGTAAATTTTGAAGTCTAAAATATAGATTATCTAATTTATAACTAGACAAATGCACATTTAGATAATACAATCAAAATCCGAGACGCTTTAATGAGCAAACCGAAAACGAATCGAAAAATCGCGCTCTCGTTGGATGGAGGTGGTATTCGGGGACTAGTCGAAGCACAAGTGAGGAAATTTTTAAATTTTAGATTTTCCAACTGTTAGCTGAATATCTTTACATGTAAATTTCAATATTAATGCTAAATTTACGTATTAATAACTATAATCAAGTCTAGATGCTTTTCGAGCTCGAGCGATTGACGGGAAACTCGATCGTCTCGAATATTGAGTGGCTAGGAGGTAAAACAGTTTTCCAAAATTCTAGGCCAATAATTTTCTAAAAAAACACTTATTTTAGAGAACTACCCTAGTCAAGCTGTCAGTTTTCATTCGACCAGCCCAACTTTTATATCACTGGCTGAGTCTTGTGATTCCTTATGACAGATGATACTAAAATTGGGCGGATGAAATGAAAACTGAAAGTTAGAATACGGTAGTTTTCGAAAAATAGTGCCTTTTAGGAGACGATTACAGAATAGTTTTCAAAATGTGCAAGTACCGGGTCGATTTTGATTTAGGAACAAGTACTGGATCGATTTTGGCGATCGGACTTGCATTGGGGAGATCGCCCGCCGACTGCATCCGCCTTTATCTTCGTTTCAAAGATGAAGTGTTTAGGGTAAGTCTAAGATTACATTCTAATACTTGAGTTGTTTATTAAGCTTTTTAATTTCCGTGCAAAACACTGTAAAGCAAAATTTCAGGGAAAACGTCCATATTCTCCGGAAACTCTCGAGGCGTGCCTCATCGGCGAATTCGGGCCAGATCGCAAGTTTGGCGACGTGAAAAAGAGGTCAAATTTTTAAAGAGCATTTATATATGTCAAAAAGAAACTAACGATATGGCTAAGCTCTATATTATTGTTGTCAAGTTTTTGAAGAATCCAAATTACAGACTACTGGTAACGGCTGCTCAAGTGGACGTAAGTCCAGCTGAAATCGTGCTCTTCCGAAGCTACGACCTGCCAAACGAGTCAGCGAAAAACTTTGCGAAACTCGGAAATGGCAGAGATATCAAATTGTGGCAAGCGGCTAGATGCTCCAGGTAAGCAAAACAATGAAACACGGCTTTTATTAATCTGTCGGAAATGTACTTACGAAGCGAAACGCATCCTTTAATTCTTCATTTTTATTGTAGCTAGTTAGCAAGATAATGAAAATCGAGTCTGCGTTTTCTTAGAAATCTTATAAGCTGACCAAAATCTTGTGTTTTTAAAAGCCAAAACTGTAAAATTGAAATTTTCAATACATTTTTCTATTTCAGTGCGGCTCCCACCTATTTCACAGCCCCATTCGGCGTTTACATGGACGGGGGCCTGATTGCAAATAATCCGTCAGCCGAAATTCTCTCCGATATTCAAATGATGGAAACATTGGGAGTCAATGAGGTTAACAATTACTTACTAACTATTAGAAAATATTATATTTCAGGAAAAACCATCACTTTTCTTATCACTTGGTACCGGGATCCCACCTTTACGCCGAATGAATGAAAGTCAGCCAAATGGGGGAATTTGGCAGAAGCTGATGAATCAATTCAATCTTAATTTAATGCATACATTACACATGTTGACTGAACAAGTGAGTGAGGGAAATTGGGGGAAATTGAGTTTTCTAAAAAAATGGATAAAAGCTACTGTAATCTTTCGTTGAGATTTTATCTGCTTTCTCTAATCTAAAGAGCAATTTGAAATTTGAAAAGCTACCGTAATCTTTCTAAACTAAAAATGCTCCAGAAAGAGTCTGTTTGAATGATTTTTGAGCACAAAGTGCACCCCAAAAAAGACGTTTTACAATAAAACGAAACTTTCCAGTAGACTTGCTTATCGGGAAATTAACGGGAAATGAGAGTTTTTATTGGCTAAATATCTTTACATTTGCGTTGAGATTTCCCGATAATTCCCAATAAGCTTTTAACGCGATTTCCGCTTAACAAGCTTCCTTTCCAGATCTCAGCCGCTAACGGTGTAATCGTGAGTCGATCAGCCGGTTTCTCACTCGCTTTGGGCATCCCATTCTTCCGTTTTTCTCCTCCTCTCCCATCGGATATTCAATTGGATGCAAGAGATGATGAAATTCTGATTGAAATGCTCTGGATTGCGAGGGTTTGTTTACATCTGACATTGGATTTGAAATTCGAATCATTCCAATACAACAACAATTACAATAAGTCCTTCAAGTCCGGGTTTAGTCTGTATTCTATAATTGCCATGTTTTCTAAAAGGTGCACCTTAGAGAAAATGATCGTAACTTTTCATTAAATATTCATTTTATTCACTTTTCAGAACTACATCTACACCCATCCGGACATCAAAAAGATTTGCGAGTACCTGAAGCAATAGTCAAGCCAATTTTTTTTTGATTTCTAGTCGCCAAATTGCCAACTACCTGTGATTTTTAGATGATTTATTTATTGGATCAATTTTGAGAACAATATCCAGTTTGTACATCCCTCACTTCTCATTGCTTCTCGAAATATTTCGGCTTAATCGTGATCCACATGTCATAATCGTCTTCATCATGCTGAAACTGCTTAATGAATTTTGGATAGTTTTTATAGTGTGAATTACAAATTATCTAAAATTCTGTTCTAAAGGCTGCTGTACGGCTATAGAGTAACCTCAATAACATATTAAAATTAATGTGAGTTCACAAGGGATTATCCAACCGGGGCTATAAGACAGACAAGATCCCAGGCTCCAGTCCTGGCTCCCGATTGGCCCGGATACTTTTGTGAACAAGGTTAAGTCAGGCCAAAGGCCAATTAAGCTAGCCAAGGTCTTGCTAGATTAGAAGCAGGCCAAAACCTAGGTCTAGATCGTTCCTCTGGCTGGTCCAGATTCGTTTCTTTATCAGCCGTACACTAGATTGGCTCAGAATCTAGGCCTGTCTTTTCGCTGTCCTTTTTTTGTAGACTAAGTCCACAGTAAAATCAGTCCAGCTCGAGTTGGACTGGAAAAATTTGCTTTAGAACAGTCCTGGTAGGATAGAAACCGTATTTTCCCTAATAGTAGTGCACCCCACCGAGCCGAATTCATGACTGTTTTACGGTTTCCAAGTTTTCACAGTTTGTTGAGCAGCTCAACACTCTAATCCCCCACAAGATCTCACCGTCAGCTACATTTTTCGACCCCACATCGATAGGTTCTGCTAGGTTCTGATAAGCGGTTCTCCAGATTTCGAGCAATTTAGGCGACGCTCAGGGTGCACTACTATTAGGAAAATAGGATAGTCATTTTTTTTACTATTCTTAAGGGATTTACCTACTCAAATTATCTATTTTTGGATCTTGTTTAAACTTATAAACTTTAAGTTGAAATTAATTATCGAAAAGTCTAGCATAAGTAAAGTTGGTGAAAAGCGATTAGGGAAAATACGGTGGCTTCGGTTAAGGGTCTAGAATCAAGCAAACTAAAGAAATTTTAGCGAATCGGTGAGATGAAAATTAGATTTGTTTATTTGGCAATGGCAATTACTAGTTTCCCAACCTCATGTTTCTCCCATTGATACCCCTCGTTCATCCATTTGTGCACCAAAGTAAACTGGTTGAAAGGAACATCGATTGGAGCCCGCGGATCGACGACAACGACTCTAAAAGATTTGAAAAAGTTAAAAAATAAACGTAATCAGGATTTGAACAGACGGGAAATTAGCTTTTAAATTGTCAATTGATTGCCAAACTCAAAAAAGGCCTTATCACATGAAAAATGAGGAATTAAATGCGCTAGAAAGAATGTGCACAAGCACAAAGCACATTCCTGAAGATCAAACAATTGTCAGAATTGCAAAACCTATCAAATTTTCAATCACTCACTTAATCCTTTGTCCGCCAACGGGTCGAATGTTCAGTTGGGTGCACGGTAAAATCGCTCGTTTTGCGCCCTCCAATTTGAATGAAATCTGATATCCAATCGTTTTATTCTCTTCTTCTTTCAGAGAGTTTTTCACAATCATTTGACAATGCAAATCACATTGACCATCCGGGATCTTGAAAGTGTATTCATCGGAGAGGTTCGTGAATTTTAGAGAATATTTGAAGCATAGACAGGGATCCTCACCACCAGAGCCTTCCTCGAGTTGATGGGAAAGGGCTAAAGAGATTTTTATGATTTCCAAACAATAAAACTATTCGATATTTTGTTAAATGTTCTTGTAGTCAATCTTTGCTTCTGTAAGTGATCAACTTTGATTGGATAAGTTTAAAAGAATTGTAGAGGATTAATTCCGGTGTCTCTAAAGTTAAATACTTGCCTGTAGACTGAATACTTTCAAAAATCAACTTTAATTTAAGAATGCAGTCTGTAAAGACAAGTTTCAATAAATTTAGTTCAAATTCGAGAAGAGAACTCTTTTAATTCACAGCCTCGAACTTTTTCGTAAACTCAAACCTATAGTTTTACGATTTAGAATTAACAATTTAAAAAAGAATTAACAACAGCTTGAAGATTTAGAAAATAACGTTTTTGAAAATTGAAAAGACAATGTACCATACCAGAAAAAGCGAATAGGAAAGGAATAATTAGAGTGAGCGATTGAAACATGAGCTTTTAAGAAAATGGGGAAACAGTTGCTTTGAAAAGACTTTTGGCACACAATGACCTTATTGTTGCACTTATCTAAATTTTTTTTTTTTTTTTGGTTTTTTTGGGGGTGTTTTTTAAAAGGGGTTTTTTTTTTTGGGGGTGTTTTGGGGGGGGGATTAATTGGGGGGGGGTGGTGGGGGGGGGGTTTTGTAAAAAGAAGGGGGGGGGGGGTGGGGGGGGGGGGGAAAAGGCTGAGATCTACAAAATGAAACCAAAATCATAAAGATTAGCCCACTTAAAACAAAGTTATGGCGAGTTGTGTAAACGACCCAGTTGCGCCAATGACCCTGTTGCGCCAAGAAAATTGCGGAAATTAGCCCACCCCTCAAACGGGTTAATTCCGGGTTCTTCTTCTGGTAGGTTTTCAAGTTTGTTGCTTTTCGATTTTGTTTGTGAACGAGCTATCGTTCAACCTGAATCCTTCCACATTTCGCTCTCGTTATTTGAATTCGTGTAAGTGGCCCATTGGGTTAAAGACAAACACAGTTAACAAATAAATTTTGGTTGGTTAAACGAAGTTTGTACGATAAAGTACAAAAGACCGAGACTTGTGTTAGAACAAGTGTCAGAACTTTTTGGTACAATTTTAAACCTTTTTAAGCTTGTCTTTTCCTTTAAAAGTTTGGCCTTAAAGCTTTAACTTCAAAATTTAAAATTCTTAGTCCTTATTAGCAAAGTAAACAACATTCTCCTACTTTGTTTTCTTTTTGAAAGCAGTCCATTCTCAATTCTTTACTTTTGTTTCTCTTCCCCTTTCATTTGCTTTTTCATTTCTCGTGTTCTCCATTGAAAAAACAAATTGCTGATCAAAATTTATTGCATTCGCACCGAATGGGTGCTCAAACTAGGATTGTTGATGGCCGGTGATTAAAAAAAAGCTCATTTCTATAGTTGATTAGATTGGATTAATCGATGAGTGTTTAGTAGACACGGCAAAGTTTGGGCAACTCGATGCGCTCGGTGAGAGACATTGAAAGGGAACGGATCTGGAAAATGAAGGAATTCAAGGCGATTGGATATTTGATAGGGTATAGAAATTGGAGTAGTGAAGTGTCTATTGGAATTGTAATGCTCAAGCAGTTAAGCTCTTCAATCAACAACTTACAGACTGTGCCATGATCCACAACTATTTAAGCACTCTTACTCGATCTAAGGTAGGCTAACAGACTAACATAGTAAGTCTCTGCAATCTTCAGCCCAATCTCCCCATTTGTCTATCCTTTTCTCCCTTACTATTCTTTTATTTTTGCCCTTCACACTCACCTCCTCCATGATCGACTCCTCTCCACGCTTAAGGCCGTTCACAATGCGGCGAGTGCTGCGATCCGAGCGTGGAAGGCAAGCCAATTTCACCTTGCGGTTCTCGGTCTCAATGAGCTCATCTCCTGGCTGGCACTTGGGTTGTTCCTCCATCGAGAAGCAAGTCTTTCCCTCACGCTCAACCATCACGATCTCGTTTTCGGGCTCTGGAAATAGAATGCATGAGATGGAACTCAGATTATTAGTTCAATGTCTAACCATCACAGTTATTCTTAGAGCTATGCCCAATCCCCTCGCCTCAACCAACCGTAGGTGTTCTCCTCCTCGTCGCGGATGTTCTTGCGGCTGATGTGCTTCTTGAGGTTCTTCTTGAGCATTTTGCGTGATCGCTTCTCTCCCATGTTCTCCTCCTCGAAATCCTCACGGGGGTTCCAGAAAGATTCCTCGGAATCGTAGCGTTCCTCCTCATCAGACTCAACTCCGTAGTTCTTCTTCTCCTTCAATTTCGACTCCTCGACCTCGCATTCGTTGTCACGGCGAAGCCACGAGCGGTGGAATTCCTCGATGTCCTCTGGAAAGGAAAAATGGTTGATCAGAGAAGCGATTTGAGAATTCCAATAATGAATGAGTGACTAATCTAGGTATTGCAAGTGAATCTAGGCTCTGGAATACACCTCTTCAGGAGCAACCAGCTTCTATCTAACATCTAAAACCCATTGAGCTCAATCTCAGCTCAATTCCAATTCCTATCCAATTTCTTTTCCACCCACCAGTCTCCTCGTTATCGGCACGGCGGAACTCGTTGTCGCGGCGTCCATCGAAATGTCCGCAAAGTCCGCATTGGGTGTTCTCGGTGCGCTTGTCAGCCTTGATCTCGACCTTGTATCCATCGAAACGGATGGTCATCTTTGGGATGGTGATCTCGCATGATGATTCTCCTAAAAGACCCACTCATCTTTCAATTTCAATTCAAAACCAACCGATAAGCTTGATTCCCATATCGTAGAGAGCCTCCTCGTCCTCGACACGGCGTCCATCAACGTTGCAAACGATCTTCTCTTGTTTCAACTCGCACTCGATTTCCTTCTCTTGAGTCACAATCTTGATCTTCTTCTCCTCAGAGTCCTTCTCCATTTTCTTCATCATCACAGCGTACTCGGGCTCTTGAGAGCAATCCTTAGCAAGCACTGAATAGCAAGTGGTCAATGGGGTCTTGTAGAGAAGTCCATCGAAGGTCGACACCTTGTTTGAGGAAACCTCGCACTCGGAAGTTGGCATGAAGACCGAGGTCCACGAGTTCTTGTTGTTCAATCCCTTGAGGGAGACACGGCGAGATCCGAGAGACATCAATGGGATACGGATTGGGGAATAGGCCTCCTTGACGATGAGTTTCTCTCCATTGCACTCAACGGTGAAGTTGACGCGACGGCACTCCTCGGGCTCGACGACGGCCTCGATCTTGAAGCGGCGAGAGTCGGAGCTGATCGATTCGACTTGTCCGTACATGTAGAACTCGGACTTCAAGAGGTCGAAGAGACGACGGAAGACCAATTCGTTGTCCTTGGAGAGGTCCTTGTCGACGAGGACGACGTACTTGTTGAGCTTGGAAGCCTCACGGAGCATGTCGTATTTCTCGAGTCCCTTGTTGCTCTCGTAGTCGATCTCCTTGACGAAACGGGCCATCTCTTGGGATTGAGTCTTCTGGAGACGGATGGTCATCTCGTTCTTCTCCTCAGATCCCCAACGGCACTTGAGGGTTCCCTCGACTTCTTTGTGGCGCATCTCCTTCAACTCCTTGATGGTCTTGGGGGATTCGGGGAGGACGACCTCTCCGTTCATTTGGAGTTCCCAGTCGCGGCGCTCCTTCTCGAGAAGTGGCGAGCGTTTGCATTGAAGATCGAAGCGGCACACCTTGATCTCCTCATCGCACGATCCTTTCACGGACATCTCTCCCTTGATGGTCTTTGGTCCTCCGACGGTGTAAAGACGGAAGTTGACGCGTCCCTCGTGTCCCTTCAACGATTTCATCGACTCGTAGTGCTTCTTGGAGTGGGTGCGGCGAGAGACACGCTCATCAGCACGCTCCTCAGACTCGTCAGAGGTCTCCAAACCGAACTCCTTCTCAGTGAAGGTCTCATCGTAGCGGGGTGACTCGTACTCGGATGAGGCCATCTTGGTGTACTTGGGCTCAACCTCGAGGACGATCTCCTTCACGGACTCGGCGGTGGGGACAAGGACAACCTGGAAATTCGAGTTTTGGATCTGGAGCTGGGTTTGGTTCAAGTGGTATGTACTACTATTCTGAGCTTTTCACTTCGATGTACTATTTCCAAATCTTTACCTGGACGTGGTTCTCTCCGAAGAGGATCGACTCGGGGGACTTCTTGTCGAAGACGTGGCGGTGGACGGATCCGATGACCTCAGTGCGGAGACCGAAGTGCTCCTCTCCGTAGGATTGCTCGTAGTGGACGGAGGTCTTCTCGAATGATGGAATACGGATGGTCTTCTCCTCAAGAACTGGCACTTGCTTGTTGTTGAATGAGCGGACGAAGGTGGTTGGGCGAGACTCGACGAGGAGAACACGTTTCTCCTCCTTGGGAAGACGGAGGACAGCCTTGAGTTGTTGTTTCTCATCGTTGTACTCGACTTGTCCGTGGATTGGAAGAGTTGATTGGATCGAGTGGAAGACACGAGATCCGATGTGCATCTCGGGGGAGAAGACGGTCATTTCGGTGACATGGGTGGAGACGAATGAGGGCTCCATCTCGACACGGAGAGACATCTTCGGGGAGATCTCGGCCTTGATGTGGGCCTTGATGTGGGCGACGGTTGGGAGCTTGGAGGTGACCTGGAAATTTTAGGGATAGATGGGTTCAGATTAGATGTTGGTTATTGATGTCTAGAGATAAATTCGGCCAATAGGCGAAAGAATATAAGGCAGTTCTTGGATATTATCGATCAGCAATCAACTATTTTAACGGTAACTGGCTATTAGGGCTAAGAAGACCGTATCTAGAGACCTTAAAAGATCACTGTACCTGGAGTGGGAGTCCAAGGGTGGTTGGGACGATGCGGACGTGCTCGTAGACGTATCCAGAGAGAACTCCCTCGAAACGGAATCCCTTGGCGATCTTGCGGATCATCTCGGATGAAGAGATCGACGAATCAGAGCGGACAATCTTCTCCATGAGTTCCTCCTCAACGGGAAGGACAGCATAGTCCAAGTTCTTGTAGCGGATGTAGAGCATACCGAAGGCATCCTCTCCATTCTCGTTTTGGCGGGATTGGATCTTCATCTGACGAACGATTTCCTTGAGGGCTTCACGGAGTGGGGCCTTCGATGAAGAGCGTTGTCCGCGGAGAACGATCTCGGTCTCGGTTTTCTCGAGTTTCTTGAGGAGTGGGATGAGCACTTGATCGAGATTGTTTTGGAAGAGTCCAACTTGAACGAGGTGTTTGTTCCATTGTCCGGCGAAGACAGAGTCGACCGAGGCGAGAAGTTCGTGTGGGAGAACGGACTCGTTGGAGAAGACTGAGGCAACATCCATGGTCATTCCGAAGTCGAAGAGACGGGAGTACCATGGGAGATGAACATGGGTGGAGGTGGAGAGTGGAGAAGAGCGGAGCATGCGAAGAGAGACATTGATGTCCTCGGCGAGCTTGGCCTCACATGGGTTCTTCTTGGACTCGGAGAACGAGCGGAGAAGAGAGACTCCGAAAGAGCGGAGTTGGGTGGATGGCTCGATGTTGAGTTGGTGAACGATTTGATCGAGAAGGGAACGCTCGGGGCGGGAGTGGACAAGTTGGTAGAGGGCCGCGATGCGGAGTGGGACTGGCTCGCGGAGGGACTTGAAGAGGGGAAGGCACACCGATTGCACCTTGCGGGGCATCTGGTCGCGGAGCTGGAATTTGGGTGTAAGTACAATCTTTGGATGTTGATTTGACAAGTGTTTTGGCTCAATAGGTCAAGATTAGATTATTAGAATTGAGCTAGAGTTTGGGCTGTCAACGAGAATGAGAGGCTAGTTTTTAAGGCGACTAATTGCTTCTTAGAGTAGATCTTTTAAAAGTTAGTTCTTCTAACTGTCAAACCCACCATGCGAAGAGCGTCAACGGCGGATTGGCGGACAACGAGTGGTTGACGGCGATCATAGATGACCTTCTCAAGGAAATGAATGGAGACATCAAGGGCAGAGTTGGCAACAGCCTTGAGGACGAGGACCTTCTCGTAACGGGAAGTGGCCGATTCGAAGAGGGTTTCCCACTCCTTCAACCATTCAGTCTTGAGCTCACGACGGCATTCCTTCTCTCCTTCGATCTCGATGGCCCACGATTCCTTGGTGACCTCCTTCTTTGAGCAGACACCGTTCATCAAAGCTCCGGTGGTGAGGAGGACGGATTGGCGGAGAATTGGCTCCTCACGGCAAACCTTGGACTTGACCAAACGCAAGAGTGAGTTGACAATGTTCTCGGATGGAACACGGGTGTTCACGAGTCCCTTGATGACGATAGCGGCACGGATTGGGGGAGATTTGCTTCTTCTCGCATTTCTCAACAAAGTGCTCAATGGTGACCTTGGTTCCGGCAGCAATGAGAGCATCGGTGAGGAACTCGCGAACCTTCTCGATCTGCTCAGCATAGACTTCGGTTTCCCAGAAGTGGCGGTGGATCTCTTGCACCTCACGCTCAGTGCACATGCGGTAGACCTCGACGATGCGGGCAAAGTTGTGGTTTGTCTCAAGGGTGACTCCGTCTTTCTCGGACTCCTCCATCGAGGCAAGGGTGAGGCGGATGTACTTGTCCATGAGCTCCTTCTTGGGGACTCCGGCGAATCCGGTGAGTGTGTAGGATTCTTCGTCTCCGTTCATCCAGAACTTCTCACGGGCCAACTCCATCTCGTAGTTGTAAAGAAGGGAAGACTTCTTTCCGTTGCGGGGCTCCTCAACACGCTCAGCCGACTTGATGTTGACAAGGCGCATCTTTTGGTGGACGTAGGTGGCGAGCATCTCTTGATCCTTCGAGAAGGGGGGTGAAGACGTACCTGGAAATGAAATGGTTGGATGGTGGATGATGAATGTTGGAAACCCTAGATTAGATCAATCCCAAACACTCACTCGGACTTGAGCTCGACCTCGGTGATAAGGAAACGCTCCTCATCCTCTCCGCGAACCTTGTAGTTGATGACAGTTTGAGATTCGGGGCGAGCATCGGTGGCCTCACACATGGAGCACTCTGGAAAAGGAGTATTGAATATGGAGATGATTGGTGGATATCCATTTCTTGATTAACACAAACCAGCAGAGTAACGGGGTCCATAGCGGATATCGATACGCTTGGGGCATTTCTCGAAGTTGAGCGACTTGGTGATCTCTTTCTCCTCGCGGTTCTTCTCCGATTCGACGATCGTGTAGGCGACCTCGCACTCACCCTCGAGGGTGCGCTGGAAAGGGAGAACTTGGGTTTGAGGGCTAGTTTAAGAATGTTTTCGATCAGGCTCTAGGTAGTTAATTAGTAGATTTGCAGGATTTGAAAAGAGCAGATTTCTCAAGTGAAAAGACTCGATTTGATCGGAACTTTCTATCAAATCACTCTATCAATCTCAATTTCATCATCCAAATCTACCTCGGTGACGGTGAAGAACTTGTTGTTGGAGACGGTCTTGGTGTTGTACTCCTCTTGGGTCTTGCGTGGGCTCATTTGAACTTGGAGCATGTTGAGAATGGAGCGCTTGATGTTCTCCGACCAGGCGGATTCCTCCTCCGAGAAGACGATCTGAAGAAGGGAATGATTGGAATGGAAAGGATTAGGACTCGAATCTTTTAGCCAAATCTCACCTCAGAGATGATTCCTTGGTGGTAACGGAAGCGGATTGGAAGCTTGATTTGCTCGCGTTGCTCGGAGGTCAATTGCGACTCGTCGAGCGACACCTGGAAATGGCGACCATCGTTGGGAAAGATACTCAGTTATTGAGATCAATTGTAGATCTCTGATCTATTTCCCAAACATCTCTTTCTTTCCCATTTCCCCACCTCAGAGATGATGCGTGGCTCGGTGAGCTGCTTGTGGCCATTGGTAAGCTTGACATTGTCGAGACGGAGGATCGAGTGTTTCTCGTTGACAGTGATCAAGACTTTTGAGTGGATTTGTTGAAGGGAATGAGACGAGGATCCTTTCACGGGCACGCCCGAGACGATCTGAAAATTGGGATGGAAATGAATGATGATGAGGAAATCGAGTCATTTGGGAGGTTCTCAAAGAAGCGGCTCAAAAACTGTTCAAAAACTTTTAGAGTGTCGATTACAGTACTTCGATGCATACAGTACCCTATTCTAGGTCCTCTTCCAATCCCATCCATCAACTTGTCTTTTCTCTCTAGGTACCCAATGCAGTAGCCCTTCCTATATCCTATTTGAGTGATCCCTATCGACTAAACTGTCCTTTCCCTTACCATACTCCCCCGATCCTACCTCTTTCCTACAGTATTCTCTCAAATACGAACCTGTCCCTTCCACTCGAACTCGTAGGTGTTTCCCTTGTTGAACGACCGTTCTTCCCATTGACGGGAGGACGCAGCGAGGGCGATGGCCAAAAGGCCGAATGCAGCCAGCAGTTTCATCTCTCTGAGGAAGAGACAAAGGGCTCTGACCGAACTGGTACCGAACCACTCGATTCAACCGACATTTATACCAGTTTTCAAATTAAATCTTGACACATGCCCATCTTTCTTATCATTTCTTGATCCCCAATTTCCATCCGCAAATTTTCGGCAATTCCTGAAGGTGACATCTGAGTGACAGGTTTTAAAAAGGGCAATTCGGGGTGGTGAGGGAAGTTCTTTTCGAAATTTTCAAGAGATTTTTGATCCGGTAAGTTTTTGAAGTAAGAATTTTGAGAAACTGATTTATTTTTGATTTGTTAGAGAGATTTTCAAAGTCAGCCGATTATGATGATGGGAAAACTTGGTTATCATAATTTTGAGCTAAAATGTTTTCAAATCCATTACTGCGCTCGTTTAGCTTTTTGAAATGGAAACAAATTTTGAATGTGGTTATTTTTGGGTAATTTGAAGAATTCTCTGATCTAGAACACCAATTTTGTTATCGCTGTTTCAGGGATTAGTCGATTTTGGTGGCTTTTTTTAACCGGCTTTGAGGCTTTCGGCAAATGCTTCAAATTACTGAAGTTACTGAAGTTTACTGAAGTTCAACTACTTCATTCAGTAGTTTTTGAAAATCTTGACATCCTCCTTGAAAATCATCTAGAAAACGCAAAATCAATACTTTAAAGACATCCGCAAAAATCCTTCTGATTGTCTTGAGAGTCTAAAATGTGATTCGTCGCTTTGCAGCTCTTGTATTATGTTTCGTGGAAATCACTGTTACATCAAAAATGTTAACCAAAAATTTCGAAAGAACTAATGGGCGATGGTTTTCTGAGATGAGATTAAAGCGGATCATTTCCTGGCTTGGATTTTAATTTTCTTGAAAGGAAAACATTTCATTCATGTTTCCATTCAAGTTAGAGGAATCCTGAAACTATGAGAATTAAATCACTGTAATCGCACTTCAAAAACCATTAATTGTCTAGTTGATGACGTATTCAGCTCAATTCATATTCAAAGTACCCACTTTCCGCATTCCATTTCTACTCAAATCCCTATTACCCAGTCTACCGCATCATTTACATCGCCTCATCAATTGGAAAGAAACATACTCTGTTAGTAAATCCCAGTTAGTATGCTAGTAAGTTAATATTTACAAATACCTGTATCGATTAGCTTGTTATCAGTTTCAGTGCGGGGATTTTTTTGTCTTTTTTTCGGGACTCGAGTTTCTGGTCTTTTCTGGAGAAAAAAGTGACAGCACCGGTCATCAGTTTATTGTTTCGAAGATTTTAGGGAATTTTTCTTGGGTTTTGAAATGACCTAAAGATTGCAGGGTTTCCATATCACGAGTTTTTCTGCGTTCACATTGACCATACGAGAAGATAGTAATATGGGTTTTTAAAATGCTATAAAAATGTGCCGTTCAAAATTTTAAAAAGAAAAATTTGTTGTTCTTTGGTAAATCTAAAAAATTTCAAAAATGTTTGCATTCCTTGAAAATAGATTTAAGTAAAAATTCCTTTACTTAAATACTTAAAGGAGTAGAGTTTTTTCTAAAACGTATCAATTTCCAAAAACTACCATAAACTTACATCTAATAATGTCAAATCTATGATTGAAGAAACGATCGTTGAAGAATTCACAACTTTTAACATGGTAACATCTCAAATTTTCAGATTTTACGACTTTCTAACCCAATAAGCTAATATTCCCAAAATTCTCGTAACAGTTTTGATAAGTTCACGAGTCAAAGTACATATTGATGCTTCTAGAAGTTATCACCATTTTTTCTTGATTACCCGTGGGAATTGTGCAACTCTCATGGGCTGTTTTCTGTTTGATTAGATGTGATTGACGGGTTATTAAAATTGAACCTCAAGGGGGAAAAGTTTGATAAGAAAATGGGATAAACTCAGAGCGAACAAAAATTTGCTTGGTCATTCAGAAATTGATTGTTTTTAAGGAGATCAAAATTAGGTCAAGGTTGTTGAATTCTTTGCAACCTTTCTCATTATCTACGTCTTTTGCGTTTAGTCTGAAATTCCTGGAAACGAATGAATCAGACCGACTTTTGGCCTTTCCATTAGTTGAGTATACATACATAAACAGGTGAAAAAAAATGCTAATTGGAAATCCAAGAAAAACATTTCTATAGCCAAAATGATGCAAGAGGCAACAACTATTGATATTTTTGAGAATCGATATTTCGATACTTTGTCAATTTATCATCTGATTGGACCGATCACCCTGCCGTTGAACATTTTGGGGATCTATTTGGTGTTGAATAAGACGGAAAAGACTGTTGGAGAGTATAAATATCACCTGGCTTTTCATTTAGTGAGTTTAATGGACTTAAAAATCGTGGCAAGTAGCTAGATTGGTAAAAAAATGGAGACAACGTTACTGTAGTTTTCAAAAGCTAGCTGGTTTTAGTAAATCTATTTCTCAAAAAAGTGTTAATTATACAGTAACTAGGTGTTCTTTTTGTGCCCTCCATCTGGCAAACCTCCTCGATAGATACCCACACCTCTTGATTTCGGCCTCTGGTTGGTCAATCATAGCCAACCACCGAGGTGCGCCTCAATCACCAACTACCCGGCCTCAGCGATGGTGCTCGACCCGACCTCATGCGCATCGACCCCCAAGCAAGAAGGGGTCCATCATCGACGTCACCATGCCCTCCGAGAACCGTGTGACCGCCTTCATCACTGCTCGCCAAGAAAAGCAACGCAAGCACGACCACCTGACTGCTCACTTTCGGTCGCTCGGCTTCGATGTGTTCCTCGATGCACTGAACGTCGGTCCCCTTGGTGGATGGGATTTCCTCAACGAAGTGGTTCTTCGAAGGATCAGCGTATGGTCTCTTTGAATTTTCCCTGAAGTATGGTCACCTGATGAAGAAGTTTATGTGCTCTAATGCAATCAAATGGAGTCGAGACATATATTTGGAGCATCTCACCGGAAACAATGCATAAGTATCCCCTTAAGCGATCTATATTTTCTACACTTTAATGTTATGATTTCTAGTCAGTTTTGATACAACGATTTACAAGAGCATATTCTTTGTGTAGTTTTTACGGTTTAGCTAGTCTTATAGCACCGCATTGATTCTGGTTTTTAGACGTAGACGGTTTGTAGAAGCTTGCTTCTCGCCGTACAGCGTCGGCCCGCTATTGCACTCACTGACTGGATCGATGGGGGAACAAAAACAAACAAGATAAAGAAATCTCTTGACTCTTGTCTAATATATTAAAGTTCAAAATAAAACTAAATGCAAGCTTTTATTTCTATTGCACTCACTGGCGGGATCGGCGCACATCCCCAGTGATGGGGGACAAAAAGAGAAAAAGAAGACTGCAACTAATACGTTTGAATGGGTCAACATTTGCCTAGCAAAATCCTGTCTCCAACTTTACTTCAATTCGAGTTAGATTCAGGGTTTACTAGGCCAGAGATAAAACTCCGGTTCCTACAGGGCTTTTGTGGGGGGAGCTTCAGTAAAGCCAAACCAAGCAAGGTCAGAAGCTAAGACTTGATTTAGAATGGAATAGCTGAATAGCTAAGGACTAGATCAAAAAGAACATTTCAGACAATCGGCTTTCTATGGGATATCTTCATGTGTGTGCTGATTTGTCCTCGAGTTTTCTTCCCCGATTTCATGTTTGCCTCTCTGGGCGCCCTGAACATCGTCGGGATTAGCACCGCACTGCAAATGGTAAAAACCCCTATTGGCCCAGAATTTTGATGATAATTACGAATGTACACAAAATCTCAATTGCCATCAAAATTCTGGACCAATATACCGTAGGCCGTTTGGCGCCTTTCCTAAAATACGCGCTTTGGGTATAAAAGGAGAGAAGTGGGAAAGAATTTCCTTCTGATCAATTTTGTTGCAGACTAAGGTGGATGATTTCCACCGGTTATTTTTCCTATTTTTGTTGTTTGAGAATTTTCCTCTTTCGTAGTTTTTATTTTAGAATGGTCAACACGAACGAGAAACCAAGGGAAAGGTGAACAAACGCGAGCGACGGAACGACTAAACTAGGAGGACAGCGTGGGATACGAAGGATCGAGTAAAATCGAAAGATTGAACGAGCCGAACGATCAAGGGATTCGGAGATTAGTGGAATCGAACCAGTGAAGGGCAAGTAGTTATGGTGGCCGTGGTTGGCTTACGTTGTTTTGACCTGTCTCGTATTTTTGTCCTTGTGGTCTCCAGAATGCCAGAAATTGACTAGGTCCTAGACGCACCGTGTGGTGGTATTTTCTGACCGTTTTTGTTTGTAGAGCATCGCGGGTGTTAAAAATTCAAAATTTGATTGGTTTTTGCGATGCGACCGTCCACTCCGGAACGTGCTGGGCTTTGCCTAGGCTTCAGAGTGAACCTAGAAGACGGATCAGTTTCCGTGGCTCAGATGCTTGAATGTTTGTTGCCTCAGTTGCTCAGTTGCTTAAAAGTTGTGGAATCAGTACCAAATCTTTTTGCACATTTTCCTAAAGTTTTGGCACAGTTACCTATAAATTTCAGCATATTTGCCCGACAGTTTCGGCACGTTTGCCTAAAAATTTAACGCAGTTCCCTAAAAGGTTCAGCACTCACGCCTGAACGTTTGCACAGTTGCCTAAAAGCTTTGGCACAGTTGCCTGAAAGATTTAACACAAAACAAACAAGGGTCGCGTCTGATAAGGTGCGTTGCAAAATGATAGGACCACCCCTAAATTTTACATTTTTTGGCTATGAAATTTAATAACACGAAATAGCTTTTAAATCCTAGAAATATTAGGTTGATGCATAAGTCTTTTTGTTCCTTTTCGTCTGCCGTTTCAAGCCAACAAATGCACCAATTAAACTACGGTTGATTTCATTAGAAAAACCAATTATTTTTCTGCAAAATAACATTAAAACGGGTTTAAAAATATTTTATGCTTGGATTTTCTTGAGAGTATGAAGTCGGGTAGTCAAAAAGGGCTAACTCGATGATGCGTTTTAGACACCTTAGCTAAAGAAAACC